TGCATTTGATTAAAATGTTTTCACCTGCATTGAAGAGCAGTGCTACAGGCACGACTATACATCCCTTTGGTCTTTTTATTATTCTGTTAGAAGTTTCCGCACATGGGTGGGCTCACTGGTGATGTAACATGTCCATCTCCCTCCCCCCCTCTCTGTCTTGCTTCCTCCACTCAGATGAAACTTGATGGCAAAATCAGGAGGCTGCTGGGGGATGAGTTTCAGGAAAAGGTTTCACTCTTTTCACAACACCATCAGCCTTTTACCTCTCTCTGCTTCCCTCTGCTCCTTCAACCTAACTCATGATTTCAGTCATACAAGTTAACTGCCACCTCAGTCTTGACAGTATTTGTTGTGGTGGATGAATTTTCTTTTATTCCTTCAAGCTCTTTTTCTGTCTGATCTCAAAAACCAAAGATAATATCCACTATCTTGGTATTTTGACTGTGAAATGACATCGTGTTTAAAGGTCCAGTGTGTAACATTTAGGAGGATCTATTGTCAGAAATCGAATATAATATCCATAGCTATGTTTTCATTAGTGTATAATCACCAATAAGAAGTGTTGTGTTTTTGTTACTGTAGAATGAGCTGTTTGTATCTACAGAGGGAGTGGATCCTCTTCCACTGGCTCTAGATAGGGCCTTTTGCAAGTTTTGGGGCCACGGTAGTTTCTCCTTGGAAGGCAGAGCAACATTTTCAAAATTAGATATTAACTTGCTATATTATATTTAATATATAAATATAGCAGATATTTCTCTGCTATATTTTTGCATAATTTATTGTTGGTGATTGTTGATTACATGATTACATTACTGGGAGTAAAATGGCAGCATAGAAACAACACTGTTAACAACTCACTGTGTCATTTCACTAGTTCATTCATTTTTCTTTAGAAGCTGTGTGTGTGTGTGTGTGTGTTTTAACTGTCTAAATATACAAGAAGAATTTCAGTTCAAAATGCAATCCGCACCATGGTGATACCTACTCATAATGAGACTTGTTATATCTAACAGGTGTACACACAATTATGAACTTTAAGTCACACATTGTAACCAAAACAGTTGAGTTTCAGGTAGCTTTTCTCTACAAAAATGGATGAATAGCATGTTGGAATAAAATTCTTCAAAATATTCAGTTTCTTGTTTCTTTGCCTGTCTTCCATCATGCTGGTTTAACAGTGTCCCCCTCCCTCTTCCTCCTTGAACTGCAGGTGCCTTTTCTCTCTCCTCTAGAGGGCAACATCTACCTGCGACTGGTCAGTGAAAGTCACTCTAATGTGCAGCACCAAGGCTTCCTGGTCAGTAATGTGACGTTTCTTATTTTCCACAACTCTCGCTACATTGCATCCATGTCCATCCTAACGAGCAATTTAGGATCAAACTGTATTTTAATCACAAAGTAAATGGGGTAAGGGAATTTAATTTTGTCATAATTGTTTAAAAATAGTGTCAGTATCTTAGAACCACGGGCAGATTTACACTACACTCTAGTGGCAACTTAGTTCCTGTAAACATACATATAGCAGACTTCCACTAATTCCTTATTTCCTTTTAAATGTTTAAAAAAAAGTTTTAAACTGCATTTTCATTTTGTTTTATTTATTATTTTCTCTCTTATTTGTGGTTCTGTTCCCAGACAATGTTTGAGTTGATCAGTGGATACGGGTTGTGGCATCGCCGTTATTTTGTTCTGGAGGGATGCAACATGTACTACTGGAACCACCCTAATGACAAAGAAACTAAGGTAATGAAGGACATACCAACAGACAGCCTAGGTCACCAAGTTACTTTTGATAGATATAATTCTGTTTTCTGTTTCTAACCTCCCAGGAAGCAGAGGGCAGCCTTTCTCTGTCCAGCTCCTCCAGTCAGTGCGTCAGGCCCGTCAAGAGGGACTCTTGCGCTCGACCTTTCACGTTTGAGCTGGTGAGCAACATCCCACAGCAGCAGCAGCAGGACGACAGCCAGGAAGCCTTGGCCAAGTAAGACTGCATATAGACAAACACCCTGAAATATCTATGGGAAATGTTTGTTTCTGGTGTCTTATGTGTTTATGGATTCTAATCAACTTTCTTTCAATCTGTGAATCCCAGACCTCCTGTCTTCACTGAAGGGATTGTTTCTTTGAAGTGGGGTTGTAGAGAGATAGAGAGATAGAGAGATAGGTGAAGCAGACAGCCGTACCAACACAGGAGCTAAGCAATGTACTGCAGTGGAGTGGGGTCGGCAACAAAACACATTTTAGCCACCTTAAAAAGGTCCACCTAAAAAAACATCAATATTAGTGTAAGTGTACACGATATTAAATATTTTCACCACCAGCATCTCCCATTTCTCTGAAGTAAAATGACCGTTTTTGTTAATGGAGTCTGGTGACTTTGAAGAGAGCATAGTTCAAACAGCTTCAGTTTCCTGTTGGAAAGGGCTGTTAGATGGCACGGTTAAAGTAGTGAAAATATTCTAAAATATAGCCTACACATTGAATTTTTTTAGGTAGCTAAAATATATTTTGTTGCTGCCCCCTTCCACAGTAGTGCATTGCTTAGCTTCCATATTTGTACTCTTTGCATGCTGGCCACCCTCTGCTATGGATAAGTACGTCATACAATCCCCCAAACTCTCCCTTTAAGGCCGAAATGGTTTGACTGCTTTTAATCTTTGAAGTTGCACCTTTTGGCCAACAACAGCCTTCATTTATCATGAAAACGTGTTTATAATAAAATTCTCTGTTGTTTACAGTGAGAATGAAGTATGTAGCTCCTCTGGCTGCAGCCAACTAGTGAAGTCACAGAGGGCGTTTGACTTTTGACAGTTGATGGGAAACGCCTTCTGTGACATCAGTGATTGGGTTGTGTCTAGAAATCTACTTTGAAATCGCATAATTGCTATTAAGAAAAAGACTGACATTAACAGCCTCTACAGTCTTTTATACCACATTTCACATTGTGTGCCACTGCATGTGGTCTTCATTTGGAGGGAAAAGCAGTAGTTATCATATCAACTCAATAGCACCTATTACAGACAGTTCTCACAATGCTCCTGTGACTGCAGTGCACACACTGATGGCTGTTGTTGTTTTTCAGGTGTTGGTTTTCAGCCGACACCAAACAGGAAAGATTGGACTGGATGGAGAAACTCAACCAAGCTCTTTTGGACTTTCACACATGGAACCGAACACCAGAAAGTCAGCAGCCGAACACGTCCAGCAGTGGGAACTTGAGGGAGAGCATACTGTAACTACACTGACATCAGGGTTTACATTCTTTATCTCAGAGCTACAGGAGAGGAACTTCTCCTTTTCTCTTCTGTTTCACTGTTAAATGAAACTTCATACTATTGTTTATTTCTTTTAATCTGAATTTAATCATTACTGTTGGTTTACACTTTTATTTGCTAAGTTACTGTTGCCATTTAAATATTTTTAGTTTTTCTTTGTCATGGTTTTGTGGAAATTGTGTGGCAATCTGCTGCTCTAGCCTTTATTGGCAATATTATTTGGTCACTTTCAGTTGCTAAGGTGAAACTTCTCTCTGTAGCTTATATATTTTTGAAATAATTTACACAAATATTTAGATTAATATTGTATTTTTGTATCATTTAAACTGGAAGGATAAACACATTTGTATAGATACACTAATAAATATTGAAGGAGAAGGAAATCTTTAACTCTACTAAACTAATCTAGGGTGAGAATGTATTTGAAATGGCAGGAAACACTACATATAATTAAGATATAGAAGGTATGCTAGCTAGTGTTAGAATGGGAGCTTTTCTTAGTCAGACATACACTTTCTGTTTGGTGAAATAATACGTTTTTGATCTATCCATTCTGAGTGGAAGTTAGTGCAGGTATTTGTTCTGACCCAGCAGAGATGTGGCTGTTACTTAGCTAAAATGTGCTCGAACAACACTTTTTTTTTACATTTTTACTAAAGAAATAACCAGTCCCAATCTGCGTCTGTCCTTGTTGACAGTACATGTCACCAGCGCCTTGGAGTTGTACTTCTTCCCAGTGGCCTGAAGTGTTCACCAATTGTCTGACGTATATGATTTGTGCCACTGCACATAAATAAACCCATATAACTTGATATATAAACCCATATAATTTTTGAAGTACAGTGGCTGAGAGAACTGTGAGGTAAAAGGGGACTGTAGTGATGCTGCTACAATGAATGTAATCTGTTCTGTATAATGTCCTGTTCTTTTCCATGTATCTCCACCTATCAGTCTGTCACTTTGTTATAAATGTATTTCATATGAACTCTCATTCTATGCACTTAATTGGAGGTACCAATAAAACAAAATGGAATGAAATGGCTACATTTTTTAAGAAAGCATCTTAAAGTCAGTGCACAGAATGATTTCAAACTGATGTCCTAGACAATTAATTTATACTCCTCCCTGTAGTCTCACCACTCTTCCATATATACATTTACATTCTCTGGTGGGCCCATAGATCTGAGAGAGGCTGGCAGGAAGGCAGCTCAGGTCAGGAATGTCATACAGGAAGTGGTCTAGAATTAGACTTCCTGTTCGTCCCATAGCTCCTCTGGGTGGAGGTGCTGCTGGGTGTTATGGCGCGCAAGGTGATGACAACAACAAGGGGAGGGGAGCACTTGATTCGGCTTTCAGGACACACACACACACACACACACATACAGCTGTGTTGAACTGGCAACACTGGCTGTTTCTGCGTTCTTACACCCTGGGTGCTGGGCGGTGGTCAATACGGTCAACGTCTATGGGTTTGTCACCCTCCATAGCTTTGACAGATTTTGGGGCAGTAATTTAAGTACTGACCAGATTAGCAACCAGATGTTCTTATATTTTCTTCTGTACAGTTTAAATGTTGGTCTTACATTGGTTCTTGGGCAAGGGTCAGCAACCTTCACAATAAAACAAAAAAAGATTAGCAAACAAATCTGTACATGCACTATTAAATTCTCTATTTTCTTCCAAGATAATGTAATTTAAATGGGTCAGTTATATAAAACTGTCCTCTGTACAGTTGCCATGAATGGGTACGTTAGCTATAGAGACCAAAACCATTGTTTGTACCAGACTGTACACATGTTTATTTCTGCTGTAAAGTAGGGCATTTTATTATGGGGCCTTATAGAGACGGACTCACTGCTGGAGCCAGCCTCTAGTGGCCATTAGGGGAAGTGCACTTTTTTGTCACTTCATGTTTGCTTCATTGGCAGCCACAGAGGTTGCCGCTTGCTCATGACTAGTAGCCACAGCTATTGAGGTTCAGCAAAATATAGTGGTAAAGTGAAGACATATAATAACATATGATGCAACCAAGCTGATGGGAGAATGTAAGAATCACTTACAAAGAATAAATGAAAATGTTAACCGTTATTTTCTATTTAATTTTTTGTCAAAGCCACAGGTAGCCTCTGGAGAGGGTCTAAAGAGCCGCATGCTGAGCAGGTTGCCTTGCCCTGTTGTAGAGGAAAGGTCAGCAGGTTATCGTCATCAGGAGCATCCAGCATAGATTTTATATCAGTGTGTGAAATATTTTGCACTTGACCAAGTGTTGACAGCCAGATAGTGATGGGGGTTCTGGCTCTTTTTAGTGATCCAGATCATTTAGCTGAGCTCAGTAATATGTCAACCAAACGGCTCTGCGTTTTGGATCACTTGTGGCTTCTATAATTCAGCCAAATTCAGCAGTATTCTGACCTATGATTGGTGCACATATATTACTAAAATGATTAAAAATCCTATCTTCTCCAGAATAGCATCATTTTGTAATGTTTGGTACAAAACCATAAATAATGTAAATACATCCAAACTATGACGTGTATTGAACATTTTATTTATACAAATTTCTCATTTCTTTTATTTAACAAAAGTCTCACCATGCTTGGGTCTTGATGTTATCAAAGTGACACATTGCTGGATTCTATTTAACAAATACGTTCTAGGATTATCCTGTTATTCTGTCATGTATTAATTAATTTTAAAAAAAGAAAGAATAGAAATATGCTCTCAGACGGGAGCCGGCTCCCATTGTTCACTTAAAAGAGCCAGCTCATCAAGTGACACGTCACAGTCCAATGGTACAAAAGTTAGTTTGTAAAACATTAGTGTGATTTCATCCTGCAGGACGGCTGTGAATGCAAATCAGAACGTTAGATCCACAGCAGAGGGGGTGACAGAGCAGCCAGAAACACAAGACAGGGGAATACACCGGACTGCAGTGATCCCTGCTGTCAGTGTGACAAGACTAAAGAACAGCAGGTCAGCGGCCTTGTTGTCCTTAGCAATGTGGTCCCACCCTGACAGGAATACATTCTGCACAACATCCTGATGTGTGAACCTCTGCTCTATTCCTTACATGGCTCTGGAGGAAATTGTTCCTGTGTGGCAAAGTTACACAAGATGATATTGAGGAGGGTGGCCTTGTTATTGTGACTAACAAAGAGGCAACCACCTTGACAAAGTAAGGGTTAGACAATTACAATACCAGTATGAACATTTTGATCTGATTCCTTTGTTCATCCTGCGGCCTAATGCTCTTACACAATCAAGAGAATAAGGGACAGTGTAAAACTCAGAGGGAGTCAGAATAGGAAAAATCTATTTTTCAGGAGAGCAAGTAAGAGAAAGAAGGAGACCCTTTAATTACTTTAATTTCTTATCCTAGATTCATATTTTATTTCAGCCTTTCCCTATGACATGTATCATATAAACCCTGTGTTTTATTTTCTTGTTTAAAGGACCAGTGTGTAAGATTTAGTGGCATCTAGCAGTGAAGTTGCAGATTGCAACCAACTGAATACCACTCACCTTACTAGGGCGGCCATGCAAAATGCAAAAGGCCCTATTGAGAACCAGTGTTTGGTTTGTCTGTTCCGGGCTTCTGTAGAAACAAGGCGCACTCTGTAGAAGAAGATCCACTCCCTCTGTAGATAGAAACAGCTCATTCTAGGTTAACAAAAACACAACAATTTCTATTTTCAGGTGATTATACACTAATGACAACATACCTATGAATATTATATTCCATTCCAGGGTGAATTTTGGACTTTGGACAGTACATTCATCAGGAAGCCAGAAACACAACTTCAAATAGATGCTAATGTTGTTCCATATCTGCTTGAAGTTCACCATATCAAGCTATAAAATGATAATATGTCAGTGTTGTGTTAACATTTAACCCTGCTAGACACCTGGACCCACAAGATCACGCTACAATCCATCATGCCAGGCTTCAAGCTATGCAGTGCACAGTTACACGTGGCAGCTACAGCATGAGTGTGGTTTAAAGCTAGGTGTGTGTGTTCTTCCACAACATGTGCTTAAAACGAAAACAACAATGGCAACTTCTAAAGAAGATAGCATTGATGCTGCTAGCATCAGTTCTATTAGAGTATCTGTTCATTGAAAGAAGAGCAAAGAACGGCAGTACAGGCTTCTCTCATTTGACTATATTATATGGTTCATTGATCTGATTGGTTGATGTTCACCTGTGATAGACAGATGTTTCATCCAATCACCTGCCAACTTGGTTTTTTTTTGTGCCCAGTTTCCAACAATGTCTTCCCAGATGGTTCTGTGTAACAAACCATCTGGGAGGGTCTAAGGTACCCCTCTCCACCAAAATAATTTCTGTACAGTCCCTAACATTCAGCAATCAGTAACATCTGATGCAACGTTTTCTCAAAGTCAGTTCTTTCACAATTTTGTCCTTTGTTCAGATTCAATTTGTTATTCAGAGACGGCTTACAGAGCACCCACGCACACATTTTAAAATTGCATGAGGAAATTTGAAGTGCAGCAGTGAAGCATTATGGTCCCATGGTCCTTTCAGATAGCGTGTTTGTGCTGGCTCCAGCCACGGAGCCACTTGGCACACTCTTTGCTGTGTTTTGAAGAGGTCCGGGAAGCTTGGAGGCGTAAACAGGGCGGCGGGGGTCAGAGGACTTAATAAACAAACTTCCCTCAGTGGTAGTAGTTGGCGCTGGTCAGACAGCTGCAGAGGATCAGAGGGGGTCAGTGACACGCTCTGTTTTTGTTTCAGTGGAAAAACTCAACACATTCACATTTTGTACAGCATCAATAATAGAGCCACAGTGTTTACCTACCTGCGCTTGAACAAAGGTTAGTGACTCACTAATGAAGTTAATGAGGATGATGACTGATTAATTAAATCATATACTGACACCTGTAGAGTGCCTCCCAGTGAAAGAGTAATAGTTGTGGACTGCATTAGTTCTTGGCTCCGTTGTGTCCCCTTCTTTTATGGTGGGTTGTAGGCTAATGACTTATGCATTATACATTGTTTCTTCCTGTGTATTTAATTGGTTTCCCTCAGACTCCCAAGAGGTTTTGTGGAACACCAGGTCCACTTACCCTGTACTCCCCCACCCCTCATCCCTTCTGCCACCATCTGGGTTGTTTTCCTGGTCCCCTCCCTGTGCTATCTCTCTCTTGTGTTGCTTTTAATGTCCTGTGGGACAACCAAAAATAACAGTCTCAATTTTGTAGTTTTCATCTGTCACTGTCAAGACTCCACAACTGTTTACTGTATGCACATAGTAACATGTGAAACATGTTGTTAATATGAATTAAACAAGCGAGATATAACATGTTAATTAGTGAGCTGGTGAGCTGATTTTGTTACCCTTGGTTATGGAGCCAGGCTAGTTGTTTCCTATTGTTTTCAGGCTTTGTGCTAAGCTAAGCTAACCGGCTGCTGGCGGTACCTTTATGTTTACCACACATATTCTCATCTAACCCTCTGTAATAAAGTCCAGAAAAATAAAATACATTTCCAAAATGTTGCACTATTCCTATAAAAATTAAAAAGTTGAAAGCATGAAAGTTCATTCTTCATCTTGGAAATACTAATTCAATTCAATTTTATTTG